AGAATAAACACTTCCAGTCACCATCTCTATAGCATCCCAAGAGTGACCGCACACCTGGCACATCCCAACACCCACACCATCCCTGTAGACAACCTGAGCTCAGATTATAACAAATCCCATTTGTCCTTGTGACAAGTGACACAAAAGACTTGCAGGAAAAGGATCCTAGCTGCTGAACCAGGCTGATATTAGCCACAGACACTGTGGGTAGGAAGGATAGAGGTGGCAGTGTGGGAGAAGAGGAATGAGTCTGGTTACAATGGATGACCAAGCAGATGTCCCAGCACATCTGTGACCACATGCGATTGTATGCCTTACCTCCAGAAGACCCTGCAGACATTAGCATGGAAGAAATGGACTTTGTATTATAGGCACACAGTCTGAAGAATATGTGAACCACTCACAGATTTTGATACTGGAGGAGAGACCTGGCTTCCAAAGCTGCTCCTGTGCATGCTCCTGTCCAGCACTCAACTGACACCGACCTGGACATCAGAACCTGCACACCCCAATCCTTTCTTCTGAAAGCCATAAAGAGCACAGGGTGAAGGGTCAATGCAGAATTTGTGCAACTCACAACAGGACTCTTGGGGCTGAAGCTGAGCGGGGGGGAGGAAGTGTCATTGTTACTGCCGCTTGCTCAGCTGAAAGGCAGCATGATTCCCTGGTGAGGGGGCAGCAGTGGCAGGGAGCACAGCTTGCTGGAGGTGGCATTTAAACAGCCAGAGGGGGTGCTTCAAAAAATTAACCAAGAATGTCAAACTACATGAAGTTTGAAAGAGTTAGGTTATTTTAGAAGTATTAATGAACGAGGCAGTAGGCAGACCTAATTGATTCATAAGCAAAATAACTACCTCAGTTAGGGAGTCTTAAATGTTTAGGGTCTTCATTCCAATAATGACTTTTCAAATGTCTTCCCTGTGAAGGTAAATGGCAGGTTAAAGAAAGAAGCTGTTCTACAGGAAAGAATTAGACTTAGATGAGCCATCTGCTGCTGTAATCTCAAAACTGCCACAGAGGAAGATGCAGTGAAGCTGAAATGAAGAATTCAAGAGGAGCCGAACAGCAGGTCAGTCTCCACAGGTGAGGTCTACCTCTCTATAACAGCAAAATCCTCTTTGATCTCACGGAAGCAGAACCGAGCACAAATCAAACCTGTCTCTAAAACCCTGCAATTGCTAAAAGCACTTTCGGGGGACTGTACAGCAAAGCAGGACACAGCTGGTCAAAATGGGCCCAGGGCACGAGCAAGCAAACTATGGAAAGCATTTCACATAGCATGGAGAGAAAGGAAGGAAGGGAATAAGAGAAATAGAACCAAAAATGGAATTCTCTTTATTGCAGTTTGTTTATATTGCTTCTTGATTGCACCACTGAGATGAATCCAGATGTCTTCTTTCTATATCCTCCTCGAAGCATTTACACACATGGAGAATGTCTCCTTGAGCCTTCTCTTTTCCAGGCTGAACAATGACAGCTGTCTCATCTCCTCTTCACCCAGCAGGAGCATCAAGCCTACAACCCATCTTTGTGTCCTTTTACTGGACAACAGGTCCGTGTTTTTTCTCTCTCTTTGCCTGTCTTGTGCACCCAGTGGCTATTTGCAAAAAGTGCACTCACCTCAATATACTGTTTGGGCCCTCGTTTAAAGCAACACTGGGTAAAGGCATATATAGGTCCCATACTCCTACACCAAAACAGAAGTGATCCCTGTCCCCCTGAACAGTGTAACAGAGCAGTAGATTATCCCACAGCAAAGATCCCCCCACTCTTATCATTGCCAACTGGAAAGGCATGGGATGAGCACTGCAGGGAAATTTTCTTGTCAGGCTTGAGTTTCCTCTTTCCAGTGAGCTGTCAAGTTTGGCTAGATCTCTTTTCAGAGAAAAAAATGCATAAATATGCATAAATAAGTTATTGTGCAAGCAAAGTAACTGAGGTAGCTTGCTTGCCTCCAGGCTGTTCTCTCATCTCAATGGATGCCAAGGTCAGGGAGCGTATGCCTATGAGGGCACCTGATGGGATTGGAGCCTTCTTCCAGCCCTCTCCTCTACCTGCTGCTAACATTCACCACATCTTCAGGAATCTCAAATCTCCCAAGGTTCCTCCTCTACCCAACTGAATTGAAAAGCTGCAGAGAAAAGGAGCAGAGAAAAAAACATACCACTCTCCTCACACCAGTGTGAGTGTATAGAAGTCTTGTTAAAAAAAAATAAAAACAGGTTAAGCTGCATTGCTTTGATTTCTTTTGCCTCAAACCTGCTCCAGTTACAAGCAAACCAAAGGCTTTCCTAACTACAAATGCCAACTCAGCTGCAACTGTATTTCTATTGGAATTCCCCTGCCTGGAACAGATTCTGTAGTAAGGCCCTGTGAGTCTGAGCAGTATTCTGTTTCCTTGGCTGAGCCTGCAATGTACACTGGTGAAATAAATAAACAGGAAGAAAGGAAGAAGCAACCCAAGAGTGAGCAGACAGGCTTCTTTTCCAAAAGTGGTGTCTCAGCTCACCACTGCATGCTGGCACCCAGCACAGACAGCCTGCACACTTCCAAGGCTGCTTCTTTCTTCCTCTCTAATTTATTGCCTTCTGCAGTCTATTTCCCAGGCTCAGCTGAGGAGGTGGGTGCCTACCTACCTCCTCCCCCGTCAACATGTTGCTGTACCAACTGCCATGGCTTACTCTGCTTTTGAGATGCTCGTGAATGCTCAGACTTCCTAGTGCTGCACAATATGGAGGAATTTAATTATATAAAAGCAAATCATCCCAGAACAACACTGGTGTCATTTAGGAACAGCACAGTGGAACTGGGGAAAGTGCACATAAAGTGTACATACCAACAGAGCAGCCAAGAAACTCAGCATCCAATATGTTTGCCAGCCCCACATCTTCCAGCACAGACAATCACTGAAGTCAGTACTGTTTAAAAAGCATCCACAATAAACTGAACAAGCCACCAGACAGAACAAGTTCACATTTTTATGTGCTGGTCTTAAAAGGTTTATCTTCCTCTCAGCTAAGGAAAAAGCTTTCAGCTTTGAGAGATCTGAAGGAATACTGAGTTGCCCAGTTCTGTGAGAAAAACTGCACTGAAAAGTCTTTCTAGAATTTCAGGAGCATAACTTTCCAGACGTTCTAGGATCACCAATTGCCAATAAAAATGAACAGCACAGAGAACACAACAGGCTTTCTTCTTCCCAGCAGTTCAAATATGAGTGGAGATTTCTATTCAAGGTGACCTCTTTGAAGTTTTTAGGGAAATCATCCCAACATATATCTCTCATTGTCCATGGCCTGAAGGCCTTCAGCCCTCTACATCTGCATGACCCAAAGTGAGAGGTCAAGGAATAGAGAACTACACACATCAAGACAGCAACAGTGACAGCTATAAGACAGCTGGACTTCAAATTCAGAGCTCTTTTTTTTTTTTTTCCTGTATTTCCACACAAGCAACTCCCATCTTCTGATAATCCTCACATCTTTAGAAAGGCCAGGACTTGAAAACATGGCCTCAGTTCACCTGTGCAAAATCAAAGGCAGAAGCAGAGAGGTAAACAGGTTCCAGGGATCAGACAGCAGAAATCCCACAGGAGTCACAACCAGGTAACCTCCATGGCAGCTACCATTGATAGTGCACACAAAGCCCATGCTGCTGGGAAATTTAAAGGGTAGCAGGTTTCTCAATTCCTTTGAAGCCTTAAGCTTTAGCTCTTTAAGTCAAATGCACTTTCAAAACCCCAAGGTCAATGACTGGAGATTATCCAGTGAGGCACTAAGCGAGCTGCTCAGCAGAAAGCTGTTCTTTAGAGTCCCTGCAATGCCATTCCAGGAATGTAGGCAATCATCAGAGCACAAAAAAGGCCTTGAAACACCAAAGTACCTATGAATTTTTCCATGGGCAGCTTCACATAGAAAAAGAAATGTGAAAATGCCATCTGGGACACCTAATTCACCCCTCAGTGATTCCGGTTCTGCGCAGCAAGCCCAAGACTGATGACAGTTGCAGTTGGGGTGCCAGCGGCCTTGGGACACCAAAGCACTGTCCCCATTTTCTGTAGCTCAGGACAAGCACCACATGCTATATCCAACCAGCCAGATCCTTTCTAAAGATGTGAATCCATCCCTCAGCACCATCAACTCCACAGATTTGCAGCAGGAAGAACAGCAGAAAGTACATTTTTGGCTATCAAGCAAGCAGGTACCAGAGAAGGATGGGGAGTAAAGCTGCTTGTACAGAGATGCTCCTTTTTTGATAGGAGCTGCTTTTGACAGCAGCTTCTTTCACTTGCTGGACCAACACAGCCATTCTTGTTCTCTAAGGAGCTCGGCAGCCTGAATGCCTGATCCCTTCTGCAAATTACCTCAAGCCTGCAGTCAGGTTCAGGAAAGCCTGAGACACTTCCAGGCTCTCATGAGCCTCCCCTGCAGACACCCTGAGACGAAAGTCATGGAAGCTCTTAGCCCTCTTCCTGGCAGCTGGAAGGAGAAGATGCCTTGCTCCACAGCCCAGGCACTGTTCCTGGCTAAGAGAGTCATGCTGAGCTACAGAGGAACTGCCACAATGGAAAAAGCAGGGACAGAGCTGACAGTGATGGCAGAATGCAAGGAGCTTTCTTTTTACAGAGTTGGAATCTCCTTTCTACTGGGGCTATCATCTCATGCACTCAGCAGGCAAAGCACCACCCTGAAAGCTCCATGAGCCAGCAGACCCCAGACCTCTTGTTCTGGGCTCCATTATAGGCAATGCCACTTAAAAACACAACCTGAATTTGGCAGTTTGCCTCCAAAGATTAAGGCAAGAGAAAACAAATACAGGTCAAGAGGAGAGGAAGGAAACAAACAGTGAAGTTTAATAGCAAGCACAGACAGGTGGAAACATGGGATGTGGTTTGCAAATGCAGCCTGACCACTACTTGGCGGTGTGGCCTGCCCCAACACCTGCAAGAGAGCACAGAAGAAAGAAGTTTGAAAGCCAACAGACCCAGACAACAACAGCAATACCTGCCTCTGTCAGCCACACAGGTCCCATGAGATGTCCCTGCAGTACAGATCAGGGTATCGCTGGGAGATGAATTATACAGCTCCAGCTACTCAGGTATCCTTCTCTGGTTGCCTGAGGAGGAGAAGTCAAATAACAAAACTGCTAACAACACAGAGAAAAAGGAAAGTGTGTTTAAAAGCCTTGCTGGCTCCCAGCCAGGGTGTTCAGCACCTTCCAGGACGTATCTCAGAGCAATTAGTCTGGGCACTGCCACCAAGTTTCACCACATACTGCTTGTCTCTGCAATGCAGATAGCAGCTCTACTATAGCAATAGCAGCTCTACTACAGCAAAACATTTATGCACATATTTGAATGTTAACTCCAGTCCCAGGACATCGGAAGGGACAACAGTCACATGCAGAACACTAAACAACTCAGCCTCAAAAACGTGGAAATAGATTCAAGCAAGTGTCTGGATCAATGTGTTTCATACATACCAAAATGAGAGTGCTGCCCAGTCACAGAGCTGTCCCAGTGTTTCTTTCCCAGGACAGACTGAGGTCAACATTATTTTCTCCCACATTTGCATTTACAGCTGTTCCTTAGGATAGCAGGACTCATGGTGAAGAAGCATTGAAAATAATTCTCATTACATTCATCCCCTTAACTGGGGCTACCTCTGTCCAGATTTCTTCACTCCACCTGCACAAGCTGCCTATGTAAGATGTGACACACAGCCAGCAGCCACCTTGAGCCTTGTGCCCATGTGCAGCAAGCGAAGGTTCACTGTAGCACCAGGGCTCTGGTGCTGGCACTGCTTGTGCCACACACACCACAGCAGCAGGACTGAGCTGAATCCAAGTGAGCTTGCAGCTGTGCACACAAGAGGTGGGGAGAACAAATGCACATCAAGCATGGGGCAGCAGAGCACTATGGGAAGATGTCACCTGGTTACTCAGATCAGCTATACTTGGGCTCTAATCTTCCAAAAATTACTGATACCATCCATATGCTGAAGATGCTCCAGCAGTTCCTGCCCTGTTTCTTTTGCAGCATCCCACTCCAGCCCTTTATTACTGTGTTTGTTTGCTTTACAAGTGCTGGAGTCCACAAGAAGTGTTTCCCCACACAGGGAAACAGGGAGTGAGGTGTTCTCCCATGCACACTAATTGCTTGTTGACATTTGGGAAGCACACACTCTCTTTTGAAGGGCATACCACAAACACCCAATATCACCAACCAACCACTCAACAGAAACACAAATAAATCCACACCTGGAGGCAGCTTTTATCTGCAGCTCTCTCTGCATTCTCTGCAAGTGAAGTAAACCTCACTTGGAAGGTTTTCTGTGCAGTAGCAACACCAAACAGCTAACATTTGCCTTTATTATTACCATCATTATCATATATTATCTCATAATTATATATTGCCTTTGAGGTTTAGCAATAGTTTTGCAAATTAGTTAGGTCAGAAAACAGAACACAAAGAAACTACTTTTGGAATTCAAAATGCAAAACAAACTGGAGAACATAATGAGGAAGTAATAAATTCCACTTTACTTGAATTCTCTTAAAATGACTGTTGGTGAAGTGGTTCATGTCTGTAACCCAGGAGATCCAGCTGAGACAATTACAGAGACCTTAAAACCTACCTGTGCATTATTCCCTAATACTTGAAAAAAGACACTCATTAGAAAACTATTCTTGGCTTTCCTTTTACCAATTGTTAGCAGCAAAACCCCATCCTTCAGCTTCCTATTTTTGAAATTGTAGCCTAATGCATTTCTCTGGGAAATCCTCATTTCCATACTACCTGCCACTTGCTGTGACCTATCCACATTCTACACATGCTGCCTATTCACCCATGGCCAAGAGAACATTCAGAGAGAGGAGCTGGGACCAGACAGCCTGGCTTCACCAAAGCCAGTAAGAGAACCCCAGATTTCTGATGACAAATCTCTGGCTACTTTATTTGCCCTTTTATTCTTCCTATAGCTGAACACACTGTTCTAAAAGTAGATGTAATGTCAGAATATGTTTTTTTCTTTAAATACCATCTCTACATCATTCCTGATAGAAACCAAAACATCTACACCAGAGCTGTGATTAGTGACCTGGTTTTGACAGCCAGTGCACACTCTTTTTTTGATGCACTGGTAAGAGTTTAACCACATCCAGTTTAAGCATAGGCTTTGCTAAGCTGTCAGCAACACCCCATGTCAGTCCTGGTATAGGCCTCCTACATGGGCTACTACCCAGCTGTGCAGGTTGAGTGAGAAGCAGAGATCACCGTGTGCCACTCAAAGCTTGTCTGGTTGGATGAGGAGTGGCCTTTGTTATATTGCGCATCACAGTGATTGTGATATTAGAAGGAAGATGAAACATCAGAGGGAAAAAGGGAAAACCTCAGCTTATTTGCTGTAAATGTAATCCAGCTTTATCTAAAGTAACTTCAGTTGTTCCCCCAGGTTCTCAGATACTCTGTTCACTTGTTTAAACACACGCACATTTCTTAACAATCAGGTTTCAAGTCAACTTCTTCAATATTCTAGTAATAGAGAAATGTAGTCACAAAACAAAAAGTTGAAAACAACAAGGCTTTATTTGCACAGCAATCTAAAGAGTGTTTCAAAGAACACCTTCCAGCTAAACACACTTCAATGTACTGCTGGTGGCATGGAAATTTGAGAATAGGATCAGACTTGCACTCACCCAGAATATGGACACGCTCACGTACCCTGAGAAGTCTGACTTGGAAGCATGAGATCACTGAGTCTGACCAGGAAACAAACAGCAAAATTAATTAAAGTACTGCTATAAAATCCAGGCTAAGTTCTTGGAATGTATCTTAATTGCCAGACAGAGCTGTTTCAAATTCTGTTTGATGAACCTCCCATCATGTTCTTTCCAACAGCCTCAACTTAACTGCATTATATTTCCTCCCACAATCATTCTTTTTTAAGATATTTGAAAAAAAAGATCAAAGGGGGAGGTAAACATTTTAAGCTAATCTCTACCCATGCCATTCTGGGAGCACCCAAAAAGAGAAGCACTTTATTCTACAGTGACTAAGATGTGAGTCATCTGATGAATAAGCACATTGGCTTTGGAAGTCTCATTCAACTCATGACCAAATGCAAATCATTTCATTACCTAAATCACTTGTCTATTTTCTGTGTTAATGCAGCAGCACTCTAAGGTCAGGATGGGGCTCCCATTTCAGACACGAGTGTAATTGCTGCTGATCTTGTCACACTAAGGTGGGCAATGCGCTGCTAGGAAACTCCATGATGGAAGAGTGGAAGAAAACCATTTGTGAGCTCACATTTTAAACTGTTCTGAAAAACCAACTTTGGAATTGCCTCCAAGCTCAGCTAACACTTGAGTTAAGTCACACAGACTGCTGGCATCAGCCTCTCTTTCAACTCAGCACCCTGCAAATGCAAACGAGCCCATATCTCAGAGCAAGCAGGGCTACACAGGCAGGTGCCAAGGCTGCAGCCCAACTTTCAACATCCTTCCACTGCTCTCAAAACAGTTTTTTTTTTTATTTTTTATGAAGATGGAAAAGCATTAAGTTGAGCCTTAAATACTGCCCCATTCCAAAGGAAACTGAGCACCTTGCAAAATTAATGTGCACCTTCACAAACGTTCTGTAGTACACATTCACAGGAAGGAAAACAGGATTGAGGTGTAGGTGTCTGTGAATTGCAGGCTTAAGCTCAGAAAGCAGCCTAGGGCACACAGTCCACATGCCGTCTCCCTACAATGCAGGCAAGAACATCAGTCAGCAGGTCTGGTCCCTCTCCCAAAGGTTGCACAGCTGCCCCAGCATCAATGGCCACACACAAAGCAGCTGCAAAATGTGCCCAGCCAACAGCCAGGCACCCCATGCTGACAGAAGTGATGAGTCTGTTCTGCCTGTTTCACAGCCCAGCGCACAGCCTCTCTCTGCAGCTGCTAATTTCTCCATGTTCAATTAGCACAGCACAAAAAAAAAAACCTACAGCAAGTGGAATAAGTTCACAGAAATGATTTCAGTTGTTCTGCACCACACTACCATCAAACTAAAGGTTATGACCAAGGTCTTGGTATTGCATATTCAATTCCCCTGCCATTCAAGAACACACAAAATTTAGGTTTTTTGAAATGTTCAGTGGACTCCCAGATGAATGCAGCCAGGGTTTTCACATCACTGGCCATCAGCATATGAGTTTACTATAAAGGATAGATATAGTTCACCAGCCACCTTCAGCTCCCCAGCCACAGCAGTAGCACTCACTGACTGCTAGAAGACTGCAAGCCAGCTCAACACCACTGCACTTGGAACATATGTAGGCTGCAGTGAAAAGCAAACCCAAAAGGCAGATCATCTCAGCAAATAAACAGTTGCACCGTGGGGGTAGAGAAAGTAGCAAAGAAAGGAGCTTACTTGTATCAGGGCACCTTAATCCCCTTCTCTGGGAGTGTGTTGCAGAGATACAAAGACAGTCTCACATCCCTGGAAATACTCCTGCAGGTGCTTGAGTCCAACCAGCAGGCAAAGCAGGCCTGCTGCCAGGGTCACTGACACTGATGGAGCTCTCTTTCCTGGCTGTTGAATTCCCCGAGGACTGGTGGGAGGAAACGATCACTAGGAAAATACTCAGAATCAAGCAGTTCATAGAGGCCCAGCCATTACAAGCCCATGGTTTCAGGCTAAGGGTTTAATCCTGTTCCAGATGGAAATTACTGGTGAGATACTGCTGACCCTCAGCTCTGCAGTAGCACAAGTCCCAGGGAGGTTACACACTTCACAAACATTTCTCACCCCTGTGAGACTCCTTCCCACCTCGCTATTAACACGCCAGTAAAGTCAGCAATGACAAAACTCCCCAAGGACAGAGCTGGATGCATCTGTCATCATGCTGTCCTTCCACTGGCTCTGGATCTGCTCCACAGAGTGCTTCCAGGGCAACTTCATCATCACTCCGTTTTTAAACAACCAGAGTTTCTGAAGTCATTAGTACATATAAACAGCCATGTCTGTTTTGGGTGCTCCATTTTTACAAGCATTCATACATGGAAAGCAATCACCAACTGCAATCAAAAAGAGGTGAAATTGAGATAGGAAGAAGCCTTTGCTGCAGACA